TAAAGATTGAATCCACGTAAAAAAACTGAATTTGAACATTCACTTAAACATCCCACACAACAACCATTACCCATTGACTTATATATTACTAGCGTAAGGACCGGGCCGACCGAACAACTAAAACGGACCAGTGCGCTGGCCCTAAAATTACAGTTTAGGGCCAACGCGAATCGGTCGACAGTGGTGCGCGCGCAGGACAGATTTGCCTGTCACAAATATGTCTAGTTTCGTGGTAAAAGAATGCAAAAATTACGATACAAAGATTTAAAAAAAACATGGGATATTGTATTATCGATAAATAACGTTATATTAATTTTGTTACAATTAAATTATTATATAAACGCATTTTTAAAGTTTTATTTTACAGTTAGTTTAGTTACGTTAAAAAAATTGTCCCGGGTTGGATTCAGATCCTAAAAAATATTGTACATGGTAAATAAAATTATACTATTTATAAAAAAATATATAACGTTTGACGTATCATGTTTCTTTTTTCCCATGTGCCGGGGTTTTGGCGTCACGCATCTAGGTTGTCTATACGTTTCGTTTTCTGACGGTTTTATTTTTATTTCTGTTTAATTTTTGTCTAAAGAACTTGGTGTAAGTTTAATTTTGAATATTGGTACCTAATATATTTTATATTCAATAAGGGTAAAATGAAAAGAGTACAAAAGAAACCATATCTTCTTAATTGAATCTGAAAATCTGATTTATAAAACATTTTGAAATTCTGTTTTCAAACCGATTGCTTCTGGAGCATAGAGTTTTTATTGTGGTAGCTCCTAATAAATGTTTCGATCGAGCTTCGATTGACCAGAAAGGGTAGCTCCCATTTATTAAAAAACTTTAATTCCAATTTTATTAAAAAACGCGGTACTCATATACATTACAAAAATTCTTGATATCGTAGGGTTAATGTTAAAATGTAAAAGGACCCAATAATAAGACAAGTCGACCTTTAGGTACAATTATGATATTTTCGCTTAGTATTATGACGATACTATGTACTACAAAACTGTGAAATAATTGTACAATTAGGATAATTATACTACGAAATCCGACCCTGGTTACATCGTGTTTTGATATGACATTTGTATTATACAGGTGCGCTACTTTTTCTTGTATGAAAAAGTTACGAGTAAAATATTAAATGGGCCTATCCTTCCTTTTGAAATCATTGACATTACCGTCATTTTCGGGTTTTCTAAATTCAAAAGTATTCCGTTTCGCGTTACAGGCTTTTCGGTATTAATATATCATTCTTGATTGATTGATTCCAAAGTTTTAAGGACTTCGTACCAAGAATCTCTCAAACTTCTACATGCGTCCTCTCTAGCTGACCAACGAGTCAGATCTACACTCTTTAACGTTTTCCATTTCTTGATTTAAGTCGTTATTTCTTGCCAGCGTTGTGTTGAACTTATAAAAATGTAGATTTCTTGAAGCAACCTGAAGAAGCGACAAACTTCTGTGCAACATTCAGCAGCCGCCGTGGCCACTAATTAATTTAAAGAGTGAACGAAAAAGTGTTTTGAGTACCGATAACGGAAGAAAATATTTCTTTAGTTTTCCTTTAAAAATTTTAATCTATTTAATTTGTGTAACAAATAAAGCAAAATTGCCTCAAATTTGCCGCCCGAAAAATCTGCCGTCCTAGGCTCCAGCCTACTGAGCCTGCTGGTAAATCCGCCACTGCGAAGAGGGCTAATCTAGAAACAACTGCGTCCGGAATTACCCGGCGACCGCAATCACCCCTCTCCCCTAAGTAGTAGTAATAATAATATATATTTACTTTTCAGTACCTATGTTCCCCCGTGATCATTCGTGCTGTAAAGTATAAATATAAAATAAGTTAATATAGTGAAGTGTATTATTCGGGTAAACATAAGAAATCATCATATAATATATATTTTTTTATTATAGTACTAGCCAGGCAGACGCTGTTCTGCCCTTTTCGACGACTGTTCCTATAAAAAACCTTAAATTTGCAATAAAAAATATTGAGGGTCACTTATCCGGATAAATCTTATCTCTTATTGGACCAAACTACACAGTGTGCAAAATTTCATGTGACACGTAATTTTTATATATAAAGATGTATAAATTTCGATGTTTAGCCACAAACCACAAAGTATTCCATTTCAGCAAGGTTGTTTGCGATGATCCGTGACTGTTCACTTGTCCTTATCAAATTAGTCTCCGTAAAACCTATTTTGTTTCCTCATGACTTTTAACGTTTTGTATAAACTTATAGCGTTTGTGTTGTAGACTAGTGGTAATTGTATCAGATTGCTTCAAGGATACTGTGTTCAAATTCTAAAAACGAAGTTTACAAATTTATACCTCCTTTAATACCTCCATCATACCTTCCAGAGTGTTGTGTTAACTATTCTGCGCATTAGTTTTTACGGTTTAGGTAGGCCAGAACAATTTTATGATATTTAAGACCTATGCATGCTCATGACATGCTCAGTCTGGTAACAGTTCAGTCTGACGAACAGACTGACCAGTCAACCAAGATTGACGACTCAATTTTCCGCTACGACAGATTCAGAATTAAGGAGATAGTTTTTATATTGTTGCTGTTGCTTGCCACTATTAATTAATAAATAGTTTAAAAAGGTAATAAAAATGAAAGTCAAATCACTGAGGCATTGGGTGCGTTTGGCAGAAAAAAGCGCTAGCAAGCGCTTACTAGCGCTAAAATAGTTTTCGGCCAGGACACGATTGCTACTTCAGTAGCGCTGACACAATCCACCATTTTGCTTATTTAATTTGTTTGTTTTGAAGTAGAGTTTATAAATTGTTTTTTGCAATATTAGTTTTAAGTAATATAATGACATGAATAGACATATACATGTTATTAAAAATTCATGATTGGTAAGTTTTTAATATGAATACTTTACAAAAATATATTTAAATTAGGTTAGGTTCCCCGGTTAAAACTAACATCGTGTCCTAGAGGAAAGTAGCTACTTACGATTTGACAGCGCTTACCGCTTACGATCGCCATTTTGCTTACAAGCGCTTGCTAGCGCTTTTTTCTGCCAAACGCACCCATTGTTTTGTGTATTTATTTTAAAGAATATTAACAATGCTATAAACATTACTAATATTCCCCTTAACCACTCGTGATAAGCTTAAATTGCTTGTGTTACGAGTGGTTCACGCTAGTAGTCGAATGGCGGATTCGAACCCACGACCTTTTTGAGTTCGCGGTCCGCGGCCTGCCGTTAGGCTACTGTTGCTTCAATTCGCACCACAGAACACTTTTACTCTCGGATAATTACAGTTCTCATGTGAATCCCAGAGTGGTATATATAGGTTTGACTGAATAACATATTAAGATTTAAGCACTGTTGGAATTACTTAAATTGACTGAGAGAATTAAGAAATTCTTAAAAATGTCAGTAGTTTTATAAAGGATTTGTTAGTACTGTCTTCTTATTTTGTTTAGTAGTGGAATTATTATGCATAATTTTCGCAATTACACTTTGTAATACAGACTGGCTCTTTTCCATAACTTTTAGTAGCTCTTTCAATACCGAAATGTTATGAAAGAGCCAAAAAACACATTTTTTTAAATGAATATTTCGTTGATCTTTACATAGCGTTTAAGGTTTTTTCGTATGCAATTAACTACTTTAATAAATAAAAAATAATTGAAGAAGAAAAAATCAACATTTCTTTCACTTCCTACTTTACATATTATTATGCATGCAGCATGTGTGTATACATATTTACAAGTACAGAGTAATATATAAGTCTAGAAGTTGACAGTTCATTAACTAGTTTTAATAGGTACATAATCGTTATAGACATTTTATGATAATATGAAAGGCGCAGACACTATGTTAAGGTCGTAACATTAAGGTCTAGAAATAGTCTAGTATTTACATGTAGTCGTAAATTACACTCGATAAATAGACGACTAACTTAGTTTATTGTACATTTTAGCTTCCAATATTATTTCTAAGAATTGCCATATACGAAATTAGTACAGCATTATCATCGCCATATCAACCTAGTTTTCAAAATTGGGTACTATACTTCGTATATCGGTATTCGGTACAGCTTATTAAAGTCCACTGCACAACGTAGGCCTCCCCCATAGATTGCCTCGTAGGGTGGATATTTGCCATAGTTGCCACGCTTGGCAAGTGGGTTGACAACCGCAGTATTTTATTTTTAGTCGTTTTTAGAAAGACGCTGCTGCCAATCTCCTGATTGGTTTCCCTCTATCGCCTCTTACCCACGGGATGGATATGGGGCAGTGGATATTCTAACATCACCAATACAAGGTATATAAAAAAACAATTGTCGGTGGTTTCTCTTTAATGTTTTGAACATTTTTAACTCTCTTTTAATTTCTCTTTCTAAGCTTCTGGAAGCTGACTCTCGAATTTTCGACGCTTTGTCGATCGGTGCGCGTATTTACTTGAATTTTCTGGATGATTCGGTACTAATGTGTATTTATAGGCGTTGCAAGGTGCGATCGAGGAAGTATTGAATTTGGCGAGACAAGCGAAGCTTCGGAGCGAAATAAAGTGAATCAGTGTGATTAATTATTAGTGTTTTAAGTTTTAATTGGTGTGAAGAAAATTAAAGTGTTAATTTAGGTAATTCTATCGGTAATTTTTATTGTCACGAACCTCAAGCTCGTAACAATACTTTAAGAAATATCCTTGGTTGGTTTTATTCATTATTTAAGAAAAAACTTTAAGCCCTATATTTTCCTGTCAATATAACTTTCTGCCCAAGAAATCTAACAAATATTTCACCACATGCCAAAGTGACGCCGTTCTGACGGCAGAAAAAGTTGTGGAGTGCCATAAAACTAGACCAATAAAAAAACAAGTGTTTATCTACGCCCGTACTTTGCCGTACGTTACTGGTCATTAAGTTCCGAGATCTACGGAAATGTTATTTTCGATAGATCTCGGAACGTCTGGTCGTTGACGTTTGTCGTCCATTAATTTTATGGTACTATTATTTTCCAGTGATCGGGACAGCGCTCACAGACATAGCCAGCGAATGTAATCTAGTTGGGTTTTACAAGGAGCTGGGCTGCACGCCGATACCCAATGCTGACAACAGCACCAAGTGTCCCGACGCCTTTACATGTCCGGACTTACATCCGGACTCTAGCATGTGCTATTACAGGTAAGTAACTGTTTAGTGAGTAAAAGAAACTTGTTACATTTGCACCGTGGGTCTTGCAAATTAACTGGACCCAAAGTTGAAATCCTACCCGGAGATATAAATTTTAGCAATAACACCAATTAAAAGTTCCTGTAGAATAGCCCTGGTGTAACATTAAGAGGCAAAAATGGTGAAAGTTATACAACATGTAACAAAAACCCTGTGTTTCACGTTAACTGTGTTATCAGAATCAGTATTCAAACGTATAGAAATATTTTTTTTTTCAGAAAATTGACCATTATTTTTTTAATACATTTTTATTTGCAAATTGTATGTGGTTTTATTACCTTTAACTGACACGAGCATCGGTAAAACGGGGTCTGTGACAATCCTTTTACTCCCCGGACAATGCCGAGGTAATAACACAATAATGATAATAATTTATTAAAAAAAATTTAATGGACGAGTTTTCTAAAAACAAAGTAATTTCTATACGTTTGATTACTGATTCTGACAACGTACTTAACGGGAACCACAGTTTTTTGTTACATGTGGTATAAAGATAATGAAAATATAATAAATATATAGGACTGTATTTGGTGCATTCCACCGTAAAAACTTACAGAATACCAGCGGAAAATAGCAGCGTAATATTTAAGATATATTTTAATCCTTGAGCATAGTTTGCTAAGCGACCTTTAACTTTCTTATGCGGTCCGCGGTGAAAGACCATGTCTCTGATTTTTATGTCATCTATAGCAACATGCACCGAGGTTGACCTCTTGGTCAAAGTTGGACTTCTTACGTACAATCTGGCCTAGATAAACATACTTGTCAACAACTAAAAGAAAAAAAAAGAAATGGACTTGTTCGTTCTTTTTCGTTCGTTCGAAAAGGAGCTTATAGTCTATCGTGAACTTGATCGCCTGAAATATTATTAACATATTGTTAAGTATGAAGTCATTAACCTTGTATTCTTTGACCACATTATGTGCGACGATGAACAAAAACAAAGAAACAAGGTTGACACGACGAGAGTAACCTCAGTTCAGCCGTTTTTCGTAAACTTCGTGACCTTACTTTGTTTGCCTTGGTGCCTTGGTTGGTCTTTTTATGTATTTGATTAGTAAAAACATTAACAAGTACAAATATGCTTAACAAATATATTTGCCCAAAACATATTGTTTTTTTTCCTTATGATTTGTTTATAAACAAGTTCATTAAATTATTGCAACTAAAATAAATAAGAAATATTTTAAACGCAAGTACTTTACCACATCACATTAGTGTACTTTCTTCTTCTTTCTTGTGTGGGAGAGATGTTTTACACACAAAAAGGTGCCCATGATACAACAAACAGATCTCAAACAGTTATATTATTCTTATTATTTACTAACTCATTTTTTATTAAATCTTTTACACGGCTAATAATACTAAAAAATGGTTGAGTTCATATAATTTAACAAATGTCTCAGGCGTCGTCATTGCACGATGAAAAAGATCGTGCGATGGTCCAACAGGAGTCCTAAAGGGTCGCGCGATTCCTCTGTTACGATGACGGCGCGGCGCCATTTCAAAAATGGCCGTTTACTGAGATGTACAGTCTTTTTCCTCACTTAGGTCTCTTAGGCAAACACCGGTCTACTCGTCTCTAACTCGATTCACCGGTGTCCTTGCGTTACAGCGATCGATGACGCGTGACCAATTAGGACACTCACACATATTTGTGTCTTTGATTACACGATCGTTCGATCAAACCCATCGTACGATCGTTATTAAGCATAATTTTCCGTGCTCGCGCGATGACTTGCAAGCTTTAATTAGAACACTAAAAAAATGCATCTTTAATCTCGTCGTGCGACGATATCATCTTTTGCTCGTACGATCTTTGCCAATTAAGACGACACCTCATCCCTCCCCCCCTCCCACCGACGGTGCATGGTACTAAGCCCTCCAAAAGTAGAGATTTTAAAATAAATAAAATCAGTATATAAAGTTTTATTATTACATGTTATTAAATATAACATGATATAAAAATATAATAAGATATAATTCTCCAATACGATGGAAAATTTACATTGCACTAATCAGTACTTCCAAATGTGTTCAAAGAAAGTTGATAATATAGGTATAACTTATGTTAAAGATATTAATCTTTATGCCGTGTAGTCGCAGTGTAATTACCCGTATCGTAATAGGCGACAGAGGGACACAAATTTGGAGATGGGTAGTAACTAGTAATGTCTTCCTGATAACGACTAAAAATAGAAACTGTGGTTGCCAACCCGCTTGCCAAGCGTGGCAACTATGGCAAATTATGACGCAACATATGGAGGAGGCCTATGTTTAACATTAGACTTTAATAGACTAAAATTGAAACGGTAACGCTATACTACTCGGTCACTATATTTTACTCGTATCTTTAGGTTAGGATACCCACACATTCGCTTGTCAGAGAGAAGTGCTGTGTCAAAACCTTAAAATGTATTTTCAGGGGTGTCCCATATGGAGACCGCACGATGATCCCGCAGAATATGATCAAGAATCCCTGTTCCCTCGCGTGCCAATGCACCGTAATGACCGGTAAGCCGCGGTTCGACTGCGCTGCCGTTGACTGTGTGGAGACGTTCGACACGGATCTACAGCAGCAATGTATCAATACATACGAGTTAGGCTCGTGTTGCAGTACGGGGACTGTGTGTGGTAAGTAATATTTATAAGAACAGTGCAGTGGCGTTGTAAGAATATCCACTACATCATTTCGCCCCGTGCTTATCGTAAGAGACAACAAAGGGAAACAAATTGGAAGACGGTCAGTAGTGTCTTCCTAACAACATCAAGAAAATACAAATTTGCGATTGCAAACTCACCTGCCTTGGCAGCGAGTTTGCAATCGCAGATTTTTGCTACACTTGCAGCTATCAAGATAGGTGCAAGTGTAGCAAATATAGATGATGTTTGCTGCATAATTCCACACTGTGAGGTAATTTATGGCAGAAGCTTATGTTTAGCAAAAAACTATGATATGCTGAATCACTTAAGAGCGGTGGTAGCTCACAGGCTAATAAACGCTGGCTGTAAATTTCATAGTACGTGAGCAACCTGGTTTGATCACTGTGGGCACCAATGAAATTTTCAATTGCAATTTTAAGTGCTGATTTATCACGTGCTCGGTGGTAAAGGAAAACATCGTTAGGAAACCTGCATGTCTGAGAAATAAGAAAAAAAATATTTTGAAAACTTGTGAAATCCGTCAACACGCATCGTGGCAACCGGGCGGACATTTTCTTACCCTAAAACCCCCTCAGAAATGAGAGGTGGCCTGTGCCCAGCCGTGGGACATATGAAGGCTGTAACTTTTAATTAATGAGGCAAATAAGGAGCAGCTTCGATTCAAGTTGAGCATAAAACCATTCGTTACTATACAATGGAATAAATACTTCTTCTAGAGGGTATTATGGTTACGTATTCTCGTAGAAACACAACCTTATATTATTGCAACAGTCCACGGCAACTATGGCAATAAAGAAGGTATTTACCATATATCTGCCATAGTTAGAAATAAATAAGCACATACCTAGACGGTCAGGTTTCACTTTAGTTTATGTACACCTTTATCCATCTTCCGTGAAGGATCAAGTTGCATATTACGTGGCTAGAATGCATCGTTATCTATATTTGAGTCTCTTTAGTACGCTGATTGCAGATATCTTATCTATGGTTACCTCCTGTACTATATATACATATACATACACACACATATATACATATATATATATATATATATATATATATATATATAAATTAAAAATTAATTGTTAATTAATTTTTATATGAATCTAAATTGCTCAGGCCAATAATTATTTTAAAGGTAAGGTGGTTAGATCATTGATTGCCAATGCAAAAGTAATAACAAATTTATATGGAAAAATACGTAAGGATTAAAAACGAATGTGTACTTTTTTTTCTTAAATTTCTCAAAAGTACTACATTTTTGCATCTTTTTAGGGAAAATACTATATTTGTCCAAAAAAAAAAAGATGGCAACCCTAATCCTATTTCGAATAGGAATTGTACTACAATTGCCAGATCAATCTATCAACGTATCAAGTTATTAATTGTTATGAGTGTAACAATAGCATTCTATTATGGACATATGGCGTAGTATACGAGACGTGGCAGTCTACGAATGATCTATTGTTCGTCTATAAATGCATTCGACTTGTCAATACCTACTCAATAGTGAGTTCCGCAGTTATTTCCTGATTTTTATTGGCGTGCAGTTTTATTTTATAATACATTCTCTGCAGTATAAGGACATGGTTCATTTAATTTTAGTTGATCTTCATAGATTACTGCACCGATAGCAAAGAGGTAGTAAAAGTATTGTTACATCATATTTACGTCCCACTGCCGGGCATAGACCTCTCCTCTCCTCCAGGCATATAGCAAGTAGTCCATCACGTTGCTCCAATGTCGAAATATTTTTATTTATTCGAAATATAGTTTTCCTTAGTATGATTTCCTTCACCACCGAGCATGTAATTTATAAGTATTCCAATTTGCAATTAACAATTTCATAGGTGTGTCATCGAACCTGGTTTGCTCGCGTACTGTGAAGTTAACGGCAAACGTTTCGCCACTGAGCTACCACGGTTCTAGAGGAGGTAGTAAGAGATCGGAGAGGTAGTATTAAGGCGACACCGTGAAAAATGCACCTCCTTTCATCGAATAGTATAGGACTATGACACCACTAACGAAAGTGGAATTATGATATAGGTAAATTCATGTCTTTATCTTGAATTTGATTGTATAATTTTGACTCGAACATAATTATTTGCGAAAACATCTCTAAAAAATCACTATAGTTGAAATTACAACGAAATTACTTAATCTATATATTTGGGAATCACTCAAATATATTCATAACATCAATATTCATAATTTACTTGTTCATTATTTTGATTACTTAAATTAATAATTTTTAAAAAATATTTCAAGATTCTGACAATTTCTAAGCTCTAAATCGTCGCGGGCGCCACGCAATTTTAGACCTTATGACAGCGATTTATCAAGTTTTTATAGAAATTATGTATTCATTCGGATCAGTACGGCGATAGCCTTTTTGATGTGTCATCTTAAGCAAAAGAAAAAACAATTAACGTAGCTTAATATGTCATTCATATGGTAAGATCAAGTTCAAAGTTATACTACAAAGTTAACTTTTAAATCAATTCAGACTTGTATAAAGCTCTTAACAACGTCAAAATTGGTTTAAAAAACATTAAAACATTACTTTCTCAAAAAAGAACTGACGAGAAACTGGGGTCTTTTGCAAGAGCCATGTTACTATTTTATTTATAACAACAACATACAGTAAAATTGATGCAATGTATATACTTATATCAGCAGTTACATTTATCATCAGCCAAGGGACTTGCAAGTACCTACCCTCATCAGGACCCACCCTTCACAGGAAAGGGACTCCGATTCACGAACACCATGCACAAGCACATTCAGATACAGTAAGGGACTAGTACTAAACTAGTAAGGAACTCTAGGGCACTCTCTCTCTCTTCGCCGGCGGACGCGAGCTCACTGACACACGCCATACACGAGGTTGAATACCCGCGATACGGGGCGTTTTTAGTTTTCTATCCGTCTTGCTCATTCTGATAGTGGTTCAAGTCGAGATTCGTACCTCCTTCTAAGGGCCCCTTGAGTGTCACAGAGACTCCACGCTCGAGCTCTAGCTCGAGAAGCCTCACTCCAAAATCACGGGCCGATGTGCCTCGGGACTGCAGTTGGCGTTTCACTCAATAGCTCGTAAGTCCTCGCTTACGAGTCTATTTCGATGAAGTAGCAGCCCTGCGGCTAACAGCATACACTTTTAGAAAAAAATAATTGCACACATCGTCCTTGATAATTTCATGAATTCATCCATTAATTACAGCCTCTCGAAAGTCCACTGCTGAACTTGGACTTTCCCTATAGATTGTACAGAAAACTAAGGCCCTGAGGGCCGCGGGTTCGAATCTCGTGCGGTACAGGTATGGCCTACAAATAATTGTTCCGGGTCTGGATAGTCACAAGTCCACTGCTGAACATAGGCCTCCCCCAAGGAATGCCATAAAGCACGGTCCTGAGCCACCTGCATCCATCGACTTCCTGCATGTCTTACTAGGTCGTCACTCTATCTAGGGGGGACGCCCTACACTTCGCTTGGCGGTACGAAGCTGCCACTTGAAAAGCTTTTTTTCCCATCGGTTGTCGGTTCTTCGAGCTATATGGCCGGCCCATTGCCACTTCAGCTTACTAATCCGTTGGGCGATGTCGGTCACTCTGGTTCTACTGCGGATATGCTCATTTCTAACTTCATCAGGACTTTGAGCTTCCTCATAAGACCAGCAGTGAACACGCACAAGTTGTACAATCTAGTTTTGAGGTATGCCAGCACACTTATTATACGGTAGTAATACTGTACATATAGCTTACTCATACTTACTACTATTAATATGTAGGCCTTATCTATCAAAAAGTTTAAAATTTTAATTAAGCAAAAATTGTTTAGTAAGCGTTCTTATACTATTGTTACGAGCTTGAGGTTCGTGACAATAAAAATTGCCGATAGAATTACCTAAATTAACACTTTAATTCACTTTACACTAATTAAAGTTAAAAACACTAATAATTAATCACACTGATTCACTTTATTCCGCTCCGAAGCTTCGCTTGTCTCGCCAACTTCAATACTTCCCCGATCGCGTATTGCAGCGCCTTTATATAGGGCTCTTCCACGAAAACATCCAGAATATTCCAGAATATTCGAGTAAATACGCGCGCCAACCGACCAAGCGCAGAAAGATCGAGTGTAGAGCTTCTAGAAAGTTTAGTTCTTCAATTTGATACTAGATGGCGCTGTCGGTAAAAAAATTGTCATGTCATTTTCTGGAAAGCTCTTTCCTCGCTCTGTTACCCGACACTAGATGGCGCTAGTGCCATGAGATGAGATGTCAACTTAGCCGCGCAACACTATAATACTAAAGATACATGAATGATAAATAACCCCTGTGAATGAGAAGATCGATATGATGCTGTTTCCAAACTCTTCATACTAATTGTGTAATATATTGTAAATTATTTTTGTTAAAAAAAAGACCGTTGGGTATCTTGCTGATTTGCTTTTTCCCAAAACAGTTTTTTTCCGAACCAGTGGTAAGTTTAAAAAATGATTTTCAATAAGTACTCTTGTACTAATCTAATCTATGTTGGATAAAAAATATTCTATTCTATTCTATACCTTTTTTGCGTTCAGAGCATGGAGAGTAATTGTGCTGTGATGTCGGAAAAATCGGAAAGAAATTGGTCCCCTCTCAGTCAATCAGGTTAAGCTGCTAACGGCGATAATTTTCAGTGAGGGCAAGTCTGTGTGATAGATATAGTTGTTTATGGTTCACAGCACCAGGTGGACTGTAGGCACAGTGGCGGCGCAAGACCTAAATTTTATTTGGGCAAGATACCTCCTCGCCCTCTGCCCGCGCAAGAAGACGGATTATTTAAAATGAAAAACAAAACACTTGACATTATGAAATTTTTATTTTTACAAAATCGTTAAGTACCAACACCAAACAATTTCAAAGAAAAATGAAGAAATAGATATTCTGTTTTTTATCCTGCAGAATTGTTTAATTATAGCCTCATAATCCAGCTTGAATGCTATAGTCTTTTCTGTGACGTTTGCATTCCTGAGATAATTTTTAATGAGTACCAATTTTAAGAAGCTTCCTTCAGCGGAGGCTGTACTGATCGGTATTGTTAAATGACGATGTAAATGTTTGGGTTTATATTTTTAAATTATTTTCTGTACCTTACTGGAGAACGTGTTTCACATCACACTGTTTCACACGCTGTTTCACATTCAAATTTCACATGTTACGAAGTTAAGTAAATTAGGGATCATTAATTGTAATTCTTCACAAAATTCGTAAGGTTGAAAGTCACTGATTTCACCCACTCGCAGGGATGTGTGTAAATCTTGACTTTTTTTTAATATTAGATGGTTTGGAATACTTTTTAACTTGTTTATATCATAAAGGAAACCAAAATTTTCATAATGTGGATTTATAGCCATAAATCTCAAATCCATATTTGTTATAATTGAACAAGCACGGTATTAAAAAAGTCTGTTTAATACCGACTTCTAGGAGACTGTAAAGATTAATATCCTTGCCTTCATAATCTAACACCTTTTTCTTTTTGGCTACTCTTTTATTTTTAAAGTCTTTTGGCAGATCGTAACAGTTTTTTTTTTCAATAAACCTAAATACCAGACAAGCATTTTTCGAAACAAGTTTGTCGATATTCTTTAATCTAGTCACAAAATGTACGTAAACGTTCTAGAGCTTTAATTTGTCTTCACCAATAGTGACAACCCTATGAAAATAGGTAACAATTTTGCAAGTTCTTAAAAGCTTTGTGTCTGTTCCGTTTATAAACTCATGTGCGTACAGCGCGAAAATATACGTACAGCAACCACGTGGGCTGCTGTACCGCACTCTTTACTCAATTGCCACGCGCCCACGATTAAATAAAGTCAGTATTCTATGGCTAACAAACAGAACGGGGAATCCTCAGCCTTTGTCGCCCCATAGATTACTGTATATATACTGGTCACCCCGTACCGAGGATTCCCCGCAATAGCAACGCAAACTAATATTACTAGACTGAATAGAAACATATTTAGTTATGTCAATAATATCGATTCATGACAATAAAATTTTTTCGGCGCGTTTTTTTTTTTATAGAAGAGGGGGCAAACGAGCATGCGGCTCAACTGATGTTAAGTGACTACCGCCACCCATGATCAACCGCAACACCACGGGAATAGCAGGTGCGTTGCCGGCCCTTTAGAAAGGAGTAAGCTCTTTTCTTGAAGGTCCCCAGGTCGTATCGGTTCGGAAAAATCGCTGGTGGTAAACTATTCCACAGAGAGGTCGTACGCGGAAGAAAGCTCCTTGTGAAACGTACAGTGGTGGACCGCCAAGCATCCAGATGGTGTGGATGGTATCGGGACGTTTGCCGCATAGTGCGTTCACGAAATTTGGCGGCTGGGATTAATCCGAACAGTTCCTCAGAGAACTCCCCGTGTTATATGCGAAAGAAAATGCAAAGAGTAACACGGTTTTAAGTAATGGATAAACCTCCAGGGGGCCTCGCGCCCTTGCGCATCGCGAGGCCGTAGGCGGTGGCCCACGTCGCCCACGCCTTACGCCGCCTCTGTGTATGCACCTTTCTCACTCTTACCTAGCCTACCTAGCACTACTATTATATCGGCTGCATCTCATTGTGGCCGGCAAAACCCAGGTGTATCTGTGATTTAGCTTTAAGCCATATGTAAATAATATTAATCTTTATTTACAGGCAAAGATGCGATAGCGAGCTTAAAAACCTGCGAAGTGGACGGAAAAACTTACAGAGAGGGTGAATCGTTTGAGCCCAAAAACAGTCGTAAAACTTGTATATGTACGGCGCAGTGGAACGGAACCCTGGACGATCCGAATAACTGCCGGGATATCAACTGCGGCATCGAGATACATTACCAGGACAAGTTGTTCCAGAATTGCGCGCCAATCTTCTTGGGGAGCGACGCCATTTGTCCAATAGCTTTTACATGCCGTGAGTTTTTTTTAATCATATTCTTATACTCGCAGCTGAATTTCTCTTACAGCGAAATCTTTTATGGTGATCCCTTTTGCTAGGGATGGGCTGTTCAAGTTTAGTTTTCAGGGATGACACATTATAAATGTTCTGGGTCACAGTATTCACTTATATCATCAGGTGGATTTAATGCACAAGTATCACCTATATTTGTATAAAGGTAATATAATTGTTCACGTGGACCAAATGACTTCACAGTGGGTTGACCCGTTTCTGGTGTACCGTAAAGCGGTATACTTTCGCCGTTAATTTTGTCTGTTTTCATTAATTCCATCACATTCGATATTGATTGTTCGTACCATCTGTATGTTGTTGACATGCAAATGTGTGTACAGTCCGACATCTGTGACATTCATAAAAAGATTGACAAATTGAATTCCAATCTTAAGTCAGTCCACAATGCCACATGCGCTTCGGAGTGTCTTTCAACCCTACGAAATGCCGATCGATGATTTTTTTATAGTATAAGGGTGACAAACGAGCACACAGTCCACCTGATGTTAAGTGGATACTGGGGCCCATAGAAATTCTACATTTATTTTAAATTAAAAATCAAAGTGCAGATGCGTTGTCAGTCCTGAGGGCTGAGAAGGAATGCCTCGTTTCAGTAAAAACGGTCTCCGGTTCTCTACACTCACCATACGAAACACAACACCATTAAGCTGCTATTTTACGCTGGTATTCTGTGGAGAGCCTGGTCGAGCCGACCCCTTCGTACTGCACCCAAAACATAGCTGTAGCATGGTTCTAGCACGTAAAATTTATATTGTAGGTAGCTCAAAGATGCTTGCAAAAATTGATACCACAAGGCTACCTTCCGTCTATTATAATGATCGCCTAATACCTTTCTTCTTCAGTTAAAAATCTTGGTCTCCATATTGATAGTACTCTAACTTGGGGATTTATATCTCTGAAACATGTAAAATCTCTGGTGCTTTACGTTCTCTTTATCGCTTGAAAAATTTTCTTCCCTCTAAGGCTAAAATTATGCTTGTACAGTCACTTATACTACCGATCATTGATTATGCAGACATGTGTATACCCGGATTTAAACCAAAATCTTCTCAACAAGTTAGAGCGCCTTCTCAACAATTGCACCAGATACATTCTCAGTCTTCGTAAATATGGTCATGTGCCTCCCTATAGCTCTCGCCTTAAATGGTTAACTATTAAACAGAGGCGTAACTCTACAATTTTGCTTGTACTCTTCTCTATCTTAATCGATCCATCCACTCCTTATCTCAAGGACAAAGTTCAGTATATTTTATCAACGCATGGTAGAAATCTGCGTTCCTCGTCTAATAATAAAATAAGTATCCACTACATTTCACCAATTTTGTTGGTAAATCCTTCACCATTCAGGCTGCACTGCTCAGGAACTTCTTGCCCGAAGACATTAGAAAAATATCCAACAAGACTGCATTTAAAATATTGGTAAGTAAACACTTTATGAAGTAATGTCCTCCAGACCGAATTTCGGTCACGGCGGCCAGTCTCAACGAAGACAAGTCATCGGCGCAGGACAGGATTATAGTGCCCAAGTGTATGCGCAAGCACAGGTGCACTCTCTATTCCATCACTCTCATATTCCGATGGGACGGTAAACCGACACGACCGGAAAGAGATCAGGCGTAGGACCAACGGCTTTACGTGCCTTCCGAAGCACGGGACTTTATGAAGTATCAGATAGTATCTAGTTAGTATGGTCAATTTGGTTACCTTTGTTGTTACTTTATTTATAGGTTTATGTTATATAACCATACAGTAAATTTTTATAGTATAAAAGTTTATTGTAGTTATGTTAATATATATAATATTAGTCTATTTTTAATAACATAAATATGTTCATTTTATGTTTGGCATCTATCACAACATTTTCCACACGTCCCGGTCTAACTGGGAGAGAATGCCAAAAGACATTAAGCCCATCCTTTGTAATCCTTTTATTAAAAGTTAAAAGTGTAAATAAATAAAATAAATAGTACATCAGCATCTGGTAACGGACGTTTTACGTGGTAGAGCCATGTTGCAGCTATATTGTGGTTGCAGCACGAATGGGTCGACTCGACCGGGGTATGACCACGCTCTCACAGAATGCCAGCGTAAAATAGTAGCTTAATGCTGCTGCGTTTCGTATGGTGAGTGTAGAGAACCGGAGATACTTTTTACTGGAAACGAGGCATTCCATCTCGGTCCTCAGGGTTGGCAATGCATCTGCATTTTGATTATTAATTGAAGATAGATGTCGATGTCTATGGACCACAGCATCCATTTACCATCAGGTGGACTGTTTGCTCGTTTGTCACCCTTATTCCATTAAAACAATTATAGAATAATGTCACCCTTACTACCCCGGCAAACAGTCCAGCTCATATAATCATGGACATCCTCATCTATCCCCGATTAAGAATCCAAATGCAGGCACCTTTATTTGTGTAAAGGAAATGCATACATCATGTGATAACGGCGGTATAAGATAGTATTTTTAATAGAATAAAACCGACATCCTCATATATCCTCAATTAAGAATAAAACTGCAAATACTATCACACCTGAGGATTAAGATGGAATACCTAGTTTCCAGTAAAAAGGGTTCTCTACGCAACTATATGAAACACCACAGCAATAAGCTGTAAGCTGTTATTTCCGAGTCAATCCATTCGTGCTGCAACCGTAATACAGCTACAGCATACCATTACTACACAATATAACTGGAAGTTACCGTGTAGTGGTGGTGCAAGAATTCACTACCCTATATCATCCCATGGGTGTCGTAAGAGACGACAGGGGGAAATTAAGCGGTATATGGGCAGCAATATATTTTTCATAACAATTAAAAATGTATAATAAAACTGCGATTAAACCTGCGATAGGAAAAACCGTGGCAAAAACGGCAACTATCACGCCTATAACGCAATCTATGGGGGGCGCCCACGTTCAGATTCAGAGTTTAGATAGTCTCTAAATGAATAAAAAATGAATGTACACTATATTATATATATATATATATATATATATATATATATATATATATATATATATATATATATATACAACAAAAACAAAAACCCTGTGGTTCCCGTTAAGTGTGTTATCAGAATCAAAAAAAACGCATTTAAAAATTTTTTTTTATGAAAAAAAAATTAATTTGCAAATTGTATGTGGTTTTATTTCCTCTAACTCACATGAATATCGGTAATGCGGAGTCTTTGACAATCCTCTTACTCATCGGCCAATGTAGAGATAATAAAACCACATAAAAATTGCAAATTAAATGTTAGTTTCACTAAAATTATTTTTTTTAAATGCGTTTTTTTGAAGAAAAATTATTTCCATATGCTTGGATACTGATTCTGATAACGCAGTTAACGGGAACCACAGGGTTTTTGTTACATGTTGTATATATATATATATATATATATATATATATATATATATATATATATATATATATATATATATATATTAATTTGGATTGTCTCTGTGTAAAATTTATTAATAAAAATAATTTAGCAGGATACTGTCTGGGCGAAATTAGGTCTTCATATTTAACAGTCTTTATTTGTATTCCAGCTACAAATACGTCGAAAGTGATCCGCGGGCTAAATGTACGTGCGGTGAGTGCGGAATGCGTTTTCGGTAACGTAACTCTGTCCGTTGGAGACGAGGTGACAGTTGACGAGAAATGTACCAAGTGCAAGTGCAATGTACCGCCCTTCGTTTCTTGCACCAAGAAGAACAGCTGCAATGAATAGTTTCATCTAATGTTTAAGGAAAATTTTGTGCGTGAAAGGACGGAAATATATTTTTTTAAATTATATGTTACATCAACCCACAACATATTTTAGGTGTATATATGTGGTATTTAGTGGATTTTTATGTGCTTGATTGCGTGTCAAGATGTTGAGGATGGTTGCAGCGTGCATGAAATGTATGCAGCACTCTGTTTACCGTTTTTTTGATCCGAGTAAACAAGAAAGAATGTTTCATAAAGATGTAAAATAAAAAAATCATTTATTAAAAAATATTAATATTTTTATTTTATTTGTATTAAAAATAAATTTTATACCATATTGAAAAATTCTTAATAAGTACATTGTGGGTTTATTAAATCCTAATAATGATTAATTAAAAATCGCTTATTTTTTTCATTAGAGTACAGATTCATGGTACAAAAAATGTTTCAAAATTATCGTTCTTAATCGAAAAAGAACCCTACATAACTATACAAAAAAATAGGTAAATACTTTATGTACAATAAGTACTTAATAATACATTTGCAATCTAGTTTATTTAAATTGCAATAATGATTGATAAAAAATTCAAAACTTATATATGTGTAAACTTATCGCTATTTTAAAAGGGATATTTACAATTATGTACAAAGCACACAGCCTTAAGAGGACTTTTGTAAATAATGCTTAGCTAACTTAGCTTAAATTTACATAAATTTTGTGACGACTTCTTATCTATTTACGTACTTAGTAACTAATAAAGCAATTGTTAAATGCAATTTTAAATGTTCTATAATTAATAATAATCTCTTGAACGCATTACTATATCATTATTAAAATTATTTATATATTAAGTTACAAAAATAAAATTTGCAGATCTTATACATAACTATTATTTATTTTCCTAGGAACGATAATATTGGCAGTGTTTCGACTAATCATAAAAGCTAGCAATAATATAACTAAGTATATATGGAGCTTGGGTTTATTAAAACATTTTTATAGTAACTTAAATAAGAAAATGAGCAATAACCTATAGTCGCATTTCTAAAGAATAAAAAATAATTCATGCGTTGAATAATGTCACAGAGTAATCTGTTTGGCGATACTTCATGCGTTGAATAATGTCACAGAGTAATCTGTTTGGCGATACTTCATGCGTTGAATAATGTCACAGAGTAATCTGTTTGGCGATACTTCATGCGTTGAATAATGTCACAGAGTAATCTGTTTGGCGATACTTCATGCGCTGAAGAATGTCACAGACACATTATAAAACGCCTCAGTAATCTTTGAGGCGTTTTATAATATTTCGGTACTATACCCGGTTCGAATCTCAAGACCGATTATGTAAATTTGGTGGAAGTTGTTGTTGAGTTAATGTATTAGTATCCATACGACGATGTTGTTATTAATTATAATATAGATGATTGGTTTTGGCATGAAAATGAAATATAAAAACATGGTTCTAAGTAGAACTTTTGATTTTGATCGACAAACAAAAAGAAAATCACCGCACGTATAATTAATTGGTACTTTCAAAATTTCATATTAAGAAAAATATTTTCATTTAAACATTAATTAAAAGAACAACTAACCGAATCTGATCTAACCAAATCTTAGTTGTTAGAAAATAAGATTTATTATATATAGATAAGAAAATCAGAAAAATTTTGTTTTACCAAACATCCTCCAAATCTCAATCTCAAGTCTTACTATCGAAGTTTCTCTTTCGCTTCTTTGGTATTTGTATGTGGTTAACTAAAGCAAGCCAGTCCCAGCTCCACTCGGAACATCTGGTCCTGCCTGCCCACGTCTCTTACAGCAACGTCCAGAAGCGGCAGTCGGCCAGGCTTGTCCGTTTCGTATTGTACTACGGTCTTCGCCCAATCATGTTTCTTGTACTAATAGCGGAAATATATTTATTATTAATGACATTTAGGATTTAGAAGTTTTATTTTATAATAAAGGTACATGTTGTCAAATAGTAGGATTTGCACTGCTTTCTGCAGTCTAAAGAGTGTACAGAGCTAATATAGTTTGAGGCATTCCATCTTAGTCCCCAGTGCCAACGCCTTTGTAGCCTTCTGTTTTTGGTAATTCAACGGACGTTCGGCTTTAGTCATCCGGACTCCCCGAGCGAGAGAAGCTGTACTCCCCCATTTTTTAAAATAGAATAAGGGTGACAAACGAGCACACAGTCCACCTGATACCCCAACTAACTTTAATAAAAAATTACTCCTGATTAAGGATCAAAACGCAGGTGCGTTGTCACCCCTGAGGACTAACATGGAATGCCTCGTTTCCAGTAAAAAAAATGTTCCGGATCTCTACACTCACTATACGAAACACAGCAGTATTAAGCTGCTATTTTACGCTGGTATTCTGTGAGAGTGAGGTCCTTCCCCGGTCGAGCCACACATCTACAAGTTTCATTTCACTACAATCCTAACAATAATAAAATTCTTTGGTAAAAAATAATTATATATAATAGTGGTAAAAGTTTATTGAATACAAAAATACGATTGTATAATAAGGTTGATTGCAACTATTAATTAAATAAATATTTTATTTAACACATTGCATCAGTCCATTTTACCCAGGTAAAATAGCATGGTAATTTTATGCGTTGGTTCACTGTGCCTCGCTACGATCCACAGTACCCCACAAGAAGATCCAGTGTATGCCATAAGCGGAGTACAGTGGATCAATTACCACTTTTTAAAAGAAGCTTGGTATCCAAAAACAATTGGTGATTATGCCAAATTTGAGATGAAAAATTTTTGTAATCAACATCTCTTGGTACTAATCAAGCTGTAACAAATTGTCATTAAACGCCTATATACCGCTTTTTCGTCTTTAAAAAATAAGTGATTCACTACACCCCTCGTTCCTCTATATTAATTAATTTTACGTTTGCTATGTATTAGTTATATAAACATTTGGGCGATTTACCTGACATTCATCCAGCAAAGCCTTGTACCGTAGCCTGTTGTTAGCTTTTGGTAGAATCTCAGCGTCATTGTAGGCCAGCAGCTTGAGACCATGCCTGTAGTTCCTTGAGGCAGGGTCGAAGTAACCAACGGTATTGCGACAGTGCAGAGTCACATTCTGTATAGCCCTAGCAGACATCAGCTGCAAGTACGTAAGTTGGCTGTGCTCTGCCTTGTAGGATATCTAAAAAAGTAATTTATTAACCGATATTGAATTCGCTTCTTTAACATACATTTTTTAATAAACTATAATGACAAACGAGCACACAGTTCACAGATGGTTAGCGGATGCTGTGGCCCATAGACATCTACATATATTCCTAATTAAGAATTAAAATGCAGATGTGTTGTCAGCCCTGAGAACTAAGATGGAATGTCTCATTTCCAGTAAAAAGGGTTTCCGGTTTCCTACACTCACCATACAAACACAGCAGTATTAAACTGCTATTTTACGCTGGTATTCTATGAGAGCGTGGTCCTTCTCCGGCCGAGTCGACCCACTCGTGCTACAACCATAATATAGCTGCAGCGTGGCTCAACCACGTGGGATATATTTTCACAGTGTCAAATTATTTGTTACATTAAAACTGTTGTACAAGTATACCTAACGTGTTGTGTGCAAAAAGCAAAAACATGAAAAAATATGAATGTCAGCAATTGTGAACAATGACGCTTATATCCGTTCTCGGTAAGGAAATTTGTCAAAAAATTATGTGGATTTCAACAAACAACAAACTGCAGTACTGACACTACTATGTAATTCATACTACTTTGTAATTAAACGAAATACTTGATAGAATCAGGCGTTACTTTGCGGAAATCCATTATAATAAAAAATAAAAATATAAATTTCTTTGCAACTTTCCGCTAAACATATAAAATGATGTGTCTTACCTCCAGAAGATTGAAGCGCACCTCCCGCCCTCCCTCAATTGCATACACTAACTCCGTCACCACTAGACCAAGCACCACTACTCTCAACACCACTATTCCAGGCAAGACACACCATCGACGATAATACGACACGTGTTTCGCCTCTACACGAGGCATCCTCAGGTAATATAGACTCTACGGCGGCTGACCGCTACTTAGCGGTCAGCCGCCTGGAATAGTGGTGTTGAGAGTAGTGGTGCTTGGTCTAGTGGTGACGGAGTTAGTGTATGCAATTGAGGGAGGGCGGGAGGTGCGCTTCAATCCAGGTAAGACACATCATTTTATATGTTTAGCGGAAAGTTGCAAAGAAATTTATATTTTTATTTTTTATTAAACGAAATACAATTGGTTGCTCAGAGAAAGAGAGGAAGAGTTAACTCTGGTTTCTCGCATACTATGAACTGTAATGCAATTACCGTGAATCCGTCTTCCAACTCACTCAACCACGCTTCATGTTCTTTTCCCTTATACTCGATATCTTGAGACTGCATTGGCTTGGGGAAGATGCAGCTGGCGCCGGTTGACATGTCACAGTGGACTAATATGGCGTCGTTCATATCGCCACCATTAGGGTCAATCCAGTATTGTCCTGCAAATATACATTATAGACGCGTTAAAATAATCCAATGAAATTGTTTAATTTTATTGCATATTGACTTGATCGATGTTGGTATTAGTTTTTGTAAGGTCATAACAGGGCTAATTATTAAATATTAAATGCAGTATGAAGCCCCTGATTTAAGTACATATACCACAAATTTTAGTTTTGACTGTAACTTGATTCAACATTTGTTTTGTACATTATTTACATTTAATGATTATATTATTGTATCAACTTGAACATATGTGAAGCAAAGCGGTTGGCAAAATATTTTTGTCGTTCAATCAATATTTTGGTCAGTACCTCAGTCGCCCCGAGCTTAACTCGTCGTAGGAAAAAAAATTGTAAAATTTTCAGAATTGGTACCTATCTAGATAAAATTGAGAATGAAAACATTATCTGAATACAAAATTTCTATGGGTTGATTGGTAGAAAATGTCTGAAATCGTAAAGCCCACTCTTCTCATTTCTTAAAAGAAATGTAATAAAAATTA